TTTTGGAGTTAAAACGCAGGCATTTACACATTGTTTATGTTCTGAATAAGCAGAGAAAACCCCGCAACATTTTAATGCGAGTTTGTTTGTTAATATTTGGGTGATGTCATTGGTTCTTTTTTGACAATTGACGCGCGAATGGGGCGTGTTATGAAAAGGGGCGTTTTACAAAATACCGGGCCTTGCTTGCAGGCCCACTATCAGTTCCCTTGGGCCTGCACGCGGGCTAAGTTGGCAGTTGTCGAACTGTTGATGCCATGTCGCCGTGTCAATTACACGGATAGTCAAGTCAGATTCAATTCAAACAAAAAGTCAACAGACGAAACCCTGTTTAAATTATGGCAAACTGATCGACAACAATCGAGATGAAATTAGTTCACTTTTAACGCTTGAAATGAACGCTTTGAGCTGGCGTGCAATTACAATGACCAATGTTGATTTTGCTATATGGTGAATTATTTGCTAAATCATGTAAGAAAAGAGAAAACAAGATAAGGCGAAGAACACAAACACAGAAATATCGCTGTCCAAGCGTTACAAATTGTTTGCAATAAGCAAATCCAGTAGCCTATATATAGTGTAAAGACAAGCCAGAAATCAACAGACCATACAATGAATACAAATTACACCAAAACAACTGCATTTATATAGCATCATGCATGCAAAGCATTCTGGTCGGTTAACAGCAGTGCATTCTGGTCGGAGAAACGGAAGTAAAATCTTACTTTCAGAGCCCAATACGAATTAGAACTGCAATTATAATATACTTAAGAATTGGGTAATCAATAAAGATACACTGACATATTTATACGCTCTCTTTTTTCATTTAAAATATACGCAATGATCAGCTTTTAATTGCTTTACTGAATTAGCTAAAACTGTATTAAATTATTGAATTAGCTAAAACTGTATATGTTTATTAAACGTTACCGCTTCGACCAAAACAGTTTTTACTATCTTTTAAAATTTTTTATAATAATAATAATAATAATAACAATAATATATATATATATATATATATATATATATATATATATATATATATATATATATATATATATATATATATATATATATATATATATATATAAGAGCAAAATCATCAAATGGGTGTAGAAATTTGTGAACCATGCATGCATGCATGCATGTAGACCTGTTTGCCTCTCAAAGGGTTTTTTATTTGTCCCTAATAAAAAGTTAAAAACCCCTTTGAGAGGCAGATTGGAGCAAGTCTAGAAGCCATGGTGCGACGCTACATTCACAGTATATAAGGGGTTAACTAACTTAACTCCAAATTCAAAACTTCAAAACTTAGTTGAATTAAGAATGCATGGACCAGCGGCATGCAGCCAACTATAAAAACCATGTGAATAAGGCATTGGAGCTACTAGTCTCCCTCGCACCCGCTCTTTTTGTCGTTCCTCACAAAAAGAGCGGCTGCGAGGAGACTATGGAGCACTGAGCTATACTATATTACTGGAGGAAGTGCTCGGCAAAAAAAGTGTCCGCAAAAACATGGCGGATTTTCGCGCCATATGACGCCATTTCCATGACAACTGGTTCCTCCGGCTCATGAAATTACCACTGACCAGGCTCAATTCTGAGCCCGCTACAATTTTCACACCCCCCTGGTTTTATCAAAAATATTTTTGCTTTTCGACGTTTTTGCAGTAAATTCTCGTTGTTTTTTATATTTTTTCGACTTTTGACCATTGGTTCAAAAATTTAAAAGTCGTACACACTATTCTCACCCGCGAAAGACAAAAAACCGATATGAAAACCCCGAAAAATTTAGGCAAAGACGATATTTGATGGCACAGCTATTCAGGTAAATTTTCACATACTATTGATATGCTTTTTAATCTTTTTAATTTTTGAAAGATAGTGGGAGTAAATGATAGAATATAATCCATTAGATAACAGGCTCTTTGTATAGTATAACGTATTATTTTCCGCCGTGTATTCAAAGTCTTGTCGTAGGCTACTGACAAATACAGAAACTTTGTTTTTATATTCAAAGTTCTTTTTTTACTTTTATACTAGCTTTGTTAAATTGTTGGCTGGCCATGGTTTTTGTTAAACAAATTTTGTTTTATTTAATTCAGTTGAATCAGTTTTTTCCCTCAAATCAAAAGGGGTTTTCTATATAGACTGATGGCTGATTGAAATCTGACATGCTTGATTTTATGCAATTGTATGTGCTATTTAAAGTGTATATACAACTGTAAAGGCATGAAACAATGTGCTTCTATCTATATTCTTTGTGTTTATATACACTAGAGTTTGTGTTTATTATAGTATGAATAATCTAGGGTGCCAGTAGAAGCTAGCCTAGGGGTACCAGAAGCTCAGGATACTGTGGGCAACTTAATATCTGGTAATATGATTTCTACCTAGATTTCTGACTGACATGTTGAATTGAGGATTCTTGAACCACTAGAAATAGGATTGTACTTCTTGAATGTTGGGTACCAATCACAAGTGTAGTCAAGTGTAGGTATAAGCAAAGAATCTAGATTATAGACTTTATAGGGTTGCACTGGATCTCATTATACAGGCCAGAACTGAGAAAGTCACACATGCTAGTCAGACATCAAGTCAGAAACAATTTAGTTGGTAGATAATGTCACTTCCAGTCCATGCAAGTGGATTTATTTGGGGTTTTGTTCATTTCAGCCCTCTCTCTGTGCACCCCTGTATCAGATGCAACCACCTGAAACTAAGAAATCAATGAACTTCAACATTTCAAGTGAAAGACCTTTAGTATTATTTTTCAGGTAGTTGCATGATACATTCAAGCCTTTAAATAGTGTGGTGGCTTAAGCTACTTTTCTCATTTCCTTTCTTCACTTTCTTACTTTTTTGTCTCTAGTGAAAACTTCATTTTACAACATTTTAATTATATAATCTCTTTTTGGTCTAATTGCAGAATTATTTGATGGTGAGACAGTTCATAGTTCAACCTCTTTATTAAAGAATTATCAATTATTAGAAATAATTAATTTTGTTAGCAGTGATAAAACTATCCAGACAAGTTATTATTATGACTTTGTAGCCAGATGGGTATGATTTTGCTTTGGCTGTTCAGCATTTTGATCCATTGTGATATGTCTTGTGGTACATGTGAATGATTTTACCTGCAAAATGAATGACAGAATATCAGAATGTAACATTACATTAAGATACATCCTTACACTGCAATATAATTATGTAAATATAGATGTTCAGTGTGAAGAATATGGTCTTTGACATTCTTTGTATATAATAAACATGTTATTGTGAAATGGAAATGATCAAATAAAGTTATTTCTGCAACAGCCCTTGCATTCAAACACCTTATTTGTATTTTTCTTGTTCATGCTTGAGCATCAGCCTCAGGATAAGCAAATTCCATTGGATTTGTGAGAGCACTTGAACTATATTGGGTCATTACATGAATTACAGAAAAGATTCAGACTCCCACAGCCTGAGTTACAAGTTACAGCTGTGACAGTGTAGAGGGGGATCCACAAGTAAAATGTGCTAGAATATCCAAAGGGGAGCTATGAAGGGGGGGGGGGTGATACAAATAAAAAAATGATGTTTAATATGACTTAAAATCATTAAGCAGTTGAGTGCACTAGCACTTTCCCCTTAACAAATAAAATTATGTGGTATTGGACTGAGTAAGATAACAAAATAGGGCATAGTGTTTCTTAATTAATCACTTATAATAAAGGTTTAAATGCTGAATTTTTCGAAAGTGCCAGAGTGGCAACTGGCAGGGTACTGAAAAGGTAGGTTGTGCACATGCATCCTAAATAAATCCTGCTACAAAAACCTGTTAAAACCACGAATTTCATTATTTCAAAGTATATAAAACAAAACAAGTCGGGAAAATGATTTTGAACCCAAGATATGAGAATGAGTTTGAATATAAAGAACAACAAAAAAGAGGATACAAAACTACTGTGATATTGTTGAAATTAGCAATATTATACATTTGCTGTTTATAACGGTAGTTTTTGACATAATGACAAGTTAATTTGTCAAGCAGCCCAATTGATCAATACCAGTGTTGACCATCAATTTTCCGTTATGTGTGGGGCATTTGAATAGCATTTTTGTCCTGGGAGTGAGAAATTTGATCACAAAATTTAAGAAAGTTCAAATGCCCAGGGGTATTCCGGGGGGAGGTGTTAACAGTATAAATTGATTGGCGCAAAATGATGTCAACATTAAACATTGTTTAAAACATTCCACTGGAATTCGGGATATCAATAAATTTCACCTTTGCAACAAAATTACTTGAAGTGTATATTTTTTATAGCAATAGTTTACAAACACTTGTTGTTGAGGGCTCTGACCGATTATCATAAACAGGACTGTTGCGTTTTTGTAGCCCCAGAACTGCATCTCATGCAGCCTAAATCCCAGGCCTTTTATTTTTAATTTCAGCACTTTTTCATACATGACTGGAACCCAAGCGATGTCGCCGATGTGTCGCTACACCTACCAAATGCTAGCCCAAAAATTGGCCATCCGAGTATAAAAGACTAGTAGGCCGTTTCCTGTGACCTCGAAAAGTGCCTAGAAAACGATTTTCATTAAGCATGTCTTGGAACTGAAATATTTTTATGGGAACTAACACTTTCGAACATGCTGAGTTCAAATCCGAAAACTTCCCGCACCGTATAGACCCGCAGTTTTCTCACAAACTGCTATTTTATCTTCGCTAATTTCACAACAAATTTTTTCATTGTTCAACGACACGGATGGATGAAGAAACACGATTGCATAACTCAAAATGACTAATTCCTATGAACCAGTCTCTATACATTGAACAATTAAAAGACGGTTTTGCTCGAATTATTCTGTGTTATGTAATTTTAAGCGTGTTGGACGTAAACAACATATCTTGTCTACAACTTTGGGAAGGTATCGATATCGCTTTGTAAAATCTTCAGTTCTGGCTGTATCTCTATGAAATCACAAGGACGTCAATGTTAAGTCGTTGGTGATATCTCTGGGATGAGAAATAATTCCTTACATGCGATCAAAATGTTTTATACAACGATGTAAAACGGTAATCTTATGGAATGGGTCAGCATTTCCATTTCCAACACAGTTTCTGAGATGTAATTCAAGAGGTAACTTATCATTGCATTTGAACTATTATATCAGTTGGTGTTATTCTGTGCGAACTGCGAAAAGCGAATATTATTGGAAAGAGGGCTGCCATATACGTTGAAATCACCAAATAAACAGCTTATGCACACATTTCTCCACTTCGTCGTAAGTTTACAGAGCAGATTTTATACCTTGGCACTGGTCTTTGACATGAACATTTATTCCCCTAGTTTAAGGTTATTTAAGATGCATCCTGTCGTAAGTCTTCTACTAGCAACCAATCGACAATATTTCATTTTAGCGTTGTCTTTGCCGTTACTTTGGCTTCGCATTACTTTTGTTTTAAATACCTTAATAATCGCGTTAAATTAGTTATTTTTCAGGCCAGTGATATAGCCAAAAGACTTAGCATTAACGTCCTTGTGATTTTACAGAGATATCGCTAGAACTGAGGA